TCCACACTGATTTTCATAGTGGTTGTACCCGTCTATACTCCCACCAACAGTGAAGATGGGTTCTTTTTTCCATATTCCTGCCAGCATTTATTTGGTTTTCTTTCTTTCTTTCTTTCTTTCTTTCTTTCTTTCTTTCTTTCTTTCTTTCTTTCTTTTTTGGCAGAACCGGGGATTAGACTCAGGACCTTGCACATGCCAGGGACTGAGCAATCTCCCTGGTTCCTTCTTCTTTTTTTTTTTTTTTTTGCCAGAACATATCAAGATTATTTGACAACTTAGTTTTTTTTAAGGTTTTGAAATAATTGGTGTACTCTGTTTCTTAATGTGCATGAAACTTGAATTAGATCTGTTTGGTTAAAAATAGTACTAGGGTAATATTTTTTAAACTCCTAAGACTCAGTGAGAAATGGATTTTATGATATGATCTGTGAATGTATGTATATAAATTAACAAACATTTTATAGTAGTATTCTAGTTTATATGATATAATCTAATAATTTCTATTCCCTTTTTACTTTAAAAATGTTCAAATGGGACAGGGAAAAAAGGGAAGGGGGAAAGGAAGGAAGGAAAAAAGAAAAAAGAATAGAAGAAAAAAGGAAGTAAAGCTTTTGTAAATGGAGAAGGGAAGGATTGAAGAGGGGGGAGGTGAATGGGGAAAAAGATATAGTAAGGGGCCAGGGAGATAGTTCAGTAGAATAAGCGCTTGCCTGGCAAGTGCAAGATCCTGAGTTCAATCCCTGGTACCACAAAAAAAAAAAAAAAAAAAAAAAAAAAAAAGATCTGGTAAGTACAAATATAAATTTCCTATGATGAATGTGATCTTTATGTATGTCAAATATACCAAAAGTGATTTTAAAATTATGTTGTAGCACACTAAAATATCATAACTGAAGGTAATTGACCTTAAGTTTCTGTTTCAGAAAATAGTAATTCATGAATGATTGATAAAAAGATGCTTCATGAAATGATGGTTGTGAAAACAATTTGTAATTTGTTTCGTACTAGTCAAAAAAAAAAAAAATCAGGGGCCGGGGAGATGGCTCAGTAGAATAAGCGCTTCCCTGGCAAGCGCAAGGGTCTGAGTTCAATCCCCGGTTCTGGGAAAAAAAAAAAAAAAAATCATTTACTGAGCTGATTATTACACCTAGTATATAATAAGTTTGTACTCTATAAATATTGATTGATTATTAATACCAGTAGATCTGAAATTTGTTCTTTAGAAGCATGCCTTCTGATTGTTTAGCAAATCTCTTTTTCTTTTTCTTTCTTTTCTTTTTTTTTCTTTTCGGAACCAGGGATTGAACTCAGGCCCTTGCACTTGCCAGGGAAGCGCTTATCCTACTGAACCATCTCCCCGGCCCCTCAAATCTCTTTTTCATATTGAAAATATTTTATGAATAACCCGGACCCTCTCAACATATGAAACAGCATTGTGTGAGCCTTGAGTGAAACTTGGTTTTGAGTGTTACGTCATCAGAGACATAATTATGTTAATAAATGTTGTATCTTTTCATTTGTTTTGGTTTTTGGTTTTACGTGCTGATTTTCTCTTCCAGGAATGTCTGAATCTGAACAAGCTCTTAAAGGTACTTCTCAAATTAAGTTACTCTCATCTGAAGATATAGAAGGAATGAGACTTGTGTGTAGGGTAAGAGTCATTTTTTTTTTCTTGTGGATGTCATATTTAAACTGTACTTAATATGTGAAGTCAAAGATATGATTTATAAATGCATCAGATATTACATTGTAAGATTATGCGTAGCCATGCTTTTTATTAACTGCTGTTTATATATTATTTAGTGTAGCAGTTTTTTTTTTTTTTACTTAAATAGCCCAGTTTGAAATTGGTCAATTAATGACTATTTGATTGCCAGTTTATTTCATGTATTTGTTTTTGTATTTATTTGTTTATTTATTTATTTTGGGGGAACTGAGGATTGAACTCAGGCCCTTGTGCTTGCCAGGGAAGCGCTTATTCTACTGAGCCGTCTCCCCAGCCCCTATTTTTTTTTTTTTTTCCAGAACCAGGGATTGAACTCAGGCCCTTGTGCTTGCCAGAGAAGCACTTACTCTACTGAGCTGTCTTCCTGGCCCCTTATTTCTTTCACTTTTGTTACAGAACCATGTTTTTATTATATTTTTTCATTCTATTTTCACAAATATAGCAATACAGGATGAAGTTTACGGCTTACATAGGTTCAACTGAAGATCTTATTGTAAAATATGTATCATCTACAGTGGTAGTGGTTAGTAATAGGTACAATTACATTTTTAAAGAAAAAAATAAATGATACATTGATAATGTTCATTTAGATGTGATTCTTAAGGTTTTTATGGAATACTTTAAAAATAAATTGACATTAATTATTTTGATAATCTGGAGAACTTGATATTCCTTTCATTTGTTTGCTATGATTCTTTGAGAAAATTCATCTATCTTTTATTTCCCTCTACCCTTCTCAGCTTGTATCAGTTGTTCTGTGTGTGTGTGTGTGTGTGTGTGTGTGGTACTGGGAGTCAAACTCAGGACCTTGTACTTGTCAAGGAGGCGCTTATGTCACTGACCTGTCTCCCTGGTCCTATCACTTGATTTTTCTTTTTTTGGCGGAACTGGGGATTGAACTCAAGCCCTTGCGCTTGTCAGGCAAGCACTTATTTTACTGAGCTATCTCCTCTGCCCATCAGTTGACTATTGATTAAAATTAGAATGTACATTTTCAGAGAAATCAGTTAAACCTAGTAAAATAAGCTTTAAGCCCACTTCCTAGGTAAATTTAAATATATTAACACTTTGTATAATAATGTAGAATGGAAAGTTCATAGTTACTTTCCACAAAATCTAAGACTAGATACAAAGGGTACAGATTCCTGTATTTTTTAAATTTCTTTTTACATATGCTGTGTTCCTCTTTTAACAGCTTGCAAGAGAAGTTCTGGATATTGCAGCTGGGATGATCAAACCAGGTGTAACTACTGAAGAAATAGATCATGCTGTACACTTAGTAAGAGCTGTTCTATTTTACTTAGGAAAAACTTTTATATTACATGTGTTTTAAGTTCTGAATGTCTGAATGACATGGTTAAGCTAACTTGACCTATTTAAAATAAAGCATTCAGAAATTGTTACTCTTATAAGTATAATCTGCCTTCTGGATTGTGGGCATCCATGGAATCAGCCAAACGTGGATTAAAAGTATTTGGAGAAGCTGAGCATGGTGGCCCATGCCAGTAATAGTAGAATTCCGAAAGCTGAGGCAGGAAAATCTTAGATTTTTAATTTATTTATTTATTTTTTTGGTGATACTAGGGATTGAACTCAGGGCTTTGCACTTGCCAGACAAGCTCTTATTTTACTGAGCTATCTCCCTGGCCCGGATCTTAGATTTTGAGATCAGCCTGAGCTACAAAGTGAGCTCAAGACCAATCTGAAATGCATAGTGAGACCCAATTTTTTTTTTTTTTTCATTTCCTAAATAGTACAGAATAATAACTCTTTACATAACATTTACATTGTATTAGTATTATAAGTAATAAAGAGATGATGTAAAGTATCTGGGCAGATGTATGTAACTTGCAGGCAAACACAATATTGTTTTATGTAAGGATCTTGAACATCTGCAGGTATTGGTTTTCAAGTGTAATCCTTGTATTAATCCCTACACATATCGAGAAGCTATATGACTGTGAGTCTTAAGTTCTGAAGTGAGCTTATGTTTTTGTCTTTGTTGTGTTGAGGACTGATCCTAGGGCCTTCTAGGGAGCTACAGTCCTTTTTACTTTATGTTTTGAGAGTCTCACTAAGTACAAGTCCCAGGCTGGACTTGTACTTGTAGTCCATCTGGCTCAGCTTCTCAGAGTGTTAGGATTATAGAAATACTTTATTTTTGAAGTTTTAGTTGAGCTTTTGTAAGATAATTAATCAGTACTTTAAGTACATTGTGCTACTACAAACACCAAATCTTTTAAGATAGAATATGATATCTGAACCTAGCTTAGTAGAAATCTGTTTTTCTTTTATATCCACAAGGCCATAAACAGGTAAATATTTATAGTAAATATAGTATCTTTTTAAAAATTTTTATTTATTTATTTATTTATTTTATAGGTACAAACCTCTTTTTTTTTAAGTCAACAGAAAATGGAAATATACTTTTTAAAGTTTCTAATACTAGAAGATATCATACAGTGTCTTTTTAAATAAATTGTCAGAGATACAGTATAAATCTTAGAACAAAAAATTAAGATTAAGCAATATTCAGATATTTAAATGTTTCAAAACAGTTGAACTAAGTTTTCATGATAGCAAAGAAGTACTAAGAGTAAAACATAAGATAAATACTGGAATGGCAAGTAAATGACCAGCACTTCTAACAGTTTGAGGATTGGA